TTATATATATATATATATATATATATATATATATATATATACATATATACATATACATACATAATATCGAACAGTTATGCTTCTTAAATCACATTAAACAACGATCAAATTAAAATCGATGCCGATATTACCATCAATCCTTTACGGTGGTAGATAGTGAAAAGTTATAAGAAGCAATCGATTACGATGCTTCGAGTACCAATATGCAACAAGTCGCGGTCGACGTACCGCGAAGAGCACATAACACGCCTGATCATTAATTAACGCTCAGCCGCGCTTGATTGCGTGTAACGCAAAATTCATCGCGGCTATAGCCTTAACCGTTGAGCGCTTTAACGAATACAAATGCGGAATTATAATTCGGTGAACTCAGACCGAAGGAGTAAGAGAAGCGGAGGCAGAGAGAGGCCTTTACGAATAATTTTCTTTACCCCTTTGTGTGACCCAACATGCGAGATATACACACGGAGTTGCAAACACGCGCTTCCCATTGGCCTTATTAATGATGCCATTAACCTTATCATCGAACTGCAAACATCTGCGCCCAACGACGACGACGTAGCGCGGCCACGGTACAATTGTCCCATAGTGGCGTAAGGGCGGTTGTCCAATTGGTTAGATTCATTACTGAAAACAAAGCGTATGGAGAAACGGAAATAGTTGCATAATTACACGCGTCATGATTCTTTGCTGGAATTTTCTTGCCAAAATAATGTAATATGTAAATTATGAAGAAATGCCATTTCTTACATTTTTTCACATATTACATAATTTCTGATGATGAATTTTAAATATTTTAGTTACACCAATTTATAACAATGTATACAATATTTTATAGAAACATAAATGAATGCTACTTGAGTTAACATTTGCTACAAGTATGGGCATATCCAGGATTATTTGTCGGGAAGAGAGGTTTTTATCAACTTTGTTAATACACAAACAGCAATTTTTTGCGTTAATGAATTATTTTTTTGAAGCTTAAAATATCTCCTTGTTCTTGGTTTTGAATGAGAAAAATATTAGCTTTAATCATAACTTTAACTATTCTTTTTAAATTTCGAAGAGGTTGAAACTCCCAAACTTCTCCCTCTGGATATGTCCATACTGGCTACAAGTATAATTAAGTAAAAAAACGCAAAAGTGATATATTTTTCTCTAATATATGTTTCTACGCCTGTAGACGTAGTACATGCGTACCATACATTAAAGGAAATAAAAACGACATGTCAACTAAAAAATTCTTTCTACTGACTGCTATGCTATTCATATACCACATCTTGAACTGGTCTTGGTTTAGAAATTAAACTGTGACTAATAGAAGCTATTGTAACTTCCTGCAAAATCATCAGAAGCCAGCGATCCGAAGAATACACCGTGGTCGATCTTTTGCCAAAAGGTTCGCCTCTGACAAGACAATGCTAGACCTTACTGTAAATGCTGCTAGGATTATGCTTTATAATATAAACATTGAATTTCTATTTATTTATCACATCACTAAGCAATTGTCACATTTTTAAATCATTTAAAAACACTGTGTTACACATCATTTTCAATCTGACGAAGAAATTCATGATGCGATATGCGTGGCTTGTCGATAAAAAAGTGTTTTTTAATTATTTAATAAAAGAAATCTCGTTTCTCGATCATTGATCTCAATGCATAAAGTATATTAAATAATTGACATGTAAGTTTTTCCTTTATATTTCCTTTATAGATCCTTTATACCTCAGATTATTTCTATAATTTTTAATCTGACACTCTTTTACTATATTAAATTTTTATTTTTAACAACAATACCTTATGTATAAATATATTAAAATATAACTTTTTGTTTAGAAAAAAATTAATTAAATCTTGTAATACTTTATGATAATTTAATCCTTAATAATTTTATTCTATATTTATCCTATTTAAATTATGCATTTTGTATAACAATTCTTTGTATATGCTGGAAGC